ATAGGTCGGAGAAGGAGGATGTGATGGGATAGGCATAGGGATGATCGGATATGATACAGTAGGAGGGTAGGGTAGGGCAGGATAGGAGAGGGAGGATAGGGAGGACATGACAGGGAGGATACGATAGGATATGACAGGGAGGGCAGGATCGGGAGGTTAGGATAGAGAGGATAGGATACGGAGGATAGGGAGGGTGGGATAGTATCAGGATAGGCCCCCTCCCTCATCAGGGATCTCGAGGAGGAGATCGAGGATCGCCAACGTCGTCGTCAGCGGCGTCGGCGACGGCGACGACGACGACGACGTCAACCTACCCCTCCACCGCCGCCCTCTCCGTCCGACCCTCCCCAGCCGCTGGGGGGGCCCTGCCTGCCAGGCGATGGCGGTCTGGGAGAAGCAGGTGTTCGCCCCGAGCGCGCCGCCTGCCGCGGGCATGAGCGAGGGGGGGATGGCCGCGCACGAGGGGGAGATCTTCGGCGACGACGACGACAAGGACAGCGACGGCATCGTGACCACCATGACCAAGCACGACAGGAACAGCGACGGCATCGTGACCACCACGACGGCCGTGATCAACAACAAGAGCACCACCATGACCAAGCATTACACCGAGCAGCGCGGCACCAAGCGCAAGCTCAAGCAGAGCGCGCTGGCCTTCCAGGTGTCCCATCATGCCTCGTCGCGAAGACCTCGGCCATCATCGCGCGGCCCCTGGGGTGAGGGGGGTCCCCGGCATGATCTCTGCTAACTAATTTCTGGTATGTGCATGGCTTCTCGGGATTGGGATATTGCTCTCGGCGAGTGCAGCTGCGTTTCGGAGGGCTGCCTCATTGGTCGCCATAGCGCCTCTGGGCTTGAGCTCGGAAGACGCTGGCCCTGGAGCCGAGCAGGAGCGACTGTTTTCGGATATTCGATTGGGGAGCGCGCTTGCAAGGTGACCTCTGCTAAAGGGCCTCACCCATAACTCCTCTACCGCTCTCGCATCGCCACCCAGCCCCGCCCGTCTCGATCTGCTCTGTTTCTTCGAAGACCTCTTGGACCAATCCTGGCCGTCCTTCAACATTCCCCTTACTCGAAGCCTTCTAAGAGTTTCCAGTGGCCTCTGAATCTCCTGTGGCTGATGGTATAAAGGGCCCCAATGACTTGATCTGGACCGTGGACCGTGGACCCTCTGACCTCGAGGCCGAATCGTTGCCTTGAACTTCGATGGCCTCCGAGCTTCGATTCCAGCGTTTCCTTGTTCTCCTGATCGCTCGGCCCCTTCCGCGCCCATCCCAGGATTTGAAATATCACCCATGTTGTTTTCTGGGGCGCGGGGCCGAAGATTCGCCCGTATGTCCGAAGGCCAGTTGGTCCATCCAATCCCCATCCCTGCTCCCTGGCGCCGTTTGATTCAAGTGCCTTGCACGTGGCACCTGGGCATCCTGCGTTTGGCCAGGAGACGGACTGGTGGGAAAAAATTGCCCTGACCATTTGGAGTCTTAAGGGGAGGGGCCCCCTTGGAGGAGGAGTGGGGGCCCAGGCATTTGGGCGGGTTCCGCGATCTCGCCCCGGCCCCCTCCTCTCCCATTGAGGAGGGGGATCGGGCGGGGGGGGGAAAGGGGTTGAGCGAGTCTTGTTGTGCCGCCCTACCCTTAGGAGGGCAGCCATGGCCGTTGGCGGCGCGGGCGGAGGCCCAGGAGGCGCTCCGAAGGCGGCAAGCGCAGGCAGCTTGGCCAAGTTCGGGGCGTTTGTGGTGCCGAAGTCGAAGTCGGCAGCGGCGGCAGGCCCCTCGGCGCCGTCGTCTTTGCCGCCGTCGAAGGGGTCGGAGCAGCAGCTGAAGATCGGGACTGAGCACGCAGGGGCGCCCTCAGCCCAGGGCGCAGCTAAGCCCGCAGGGCCGCCGCCACAGCAGCAGCCTCCCGAGGGGGCCGAGCAGCCTGCAGAGGTGCCTCGAAAGGCGCCGCCCGCGAAGCCTGCCAAGGCGCCGCCCACGGCGCCGCCCGCGCTGCCTCAGGAGGCAGAGGGTGCGCCGCCACAGGCGCAGAAACACGAGGAGGCGCCGACGCAGACGCAGCATCAGCCCAAACTCCAAGCACAGCAGGTGACCCTGCAGAAGGCGCCCGCCACAGTGGAAGGTCCGTTCTTGGAGCCGCAGGTGGAGCCCTCGGGACTCGCGCAGCAGGCACCAGCCACAGAGGGAGGTGGGGCACCACTGGCACCACCCCCGAGCGATGTGCAGGCAGCCGCGCCGACGCCGACTGTTGCCGCAGGCACGCCTTTTGGGGCAGCAGCCGATGGCCAGGCGAGTACGCCTTTGGGGGCGCCAGGCACGCCGTTGATCACGGGCGGTCTGGAGGGCGGCACAGGCAGGCTGGGTTAAGGGGGCATTACTCTGGGTTCATTTTCTTTTCTCTCCACTTTCGACCTCGGCCTTCTCCACCTCCTCCTCATCCTCCTGCTCCTCCCCTGCTCGCGAACCTCGTGTCCTCCTCCCCCATCCTTCTTGTCTGCTCTCCTTCTCCGTCTCCTTCTCTTCCTGCTCTTCCTTTCCCCGCAGCCGCGGCTGCCGCCCCAGCGAGCCCCGAGGAGAGCCCGGGACAGGCCCATCAGGGGCCCGAGAGGGGCCTCTTGGGGCCAAGTTTTCATCCCGTTCGGACCCTCGTGGGGCCCACCCAAACCTCCTGGGGCTCCCCCGTCGCCTTGCCGTTGGTCCATATGATATGTTTGAACCCCCGCCTAGGCGCAGACGTGTTCGAGGGCCTCGACGGCCTCGACCCAGAGATGTCGCCCCGCGGCGCGTTGGAGTTCGAATGCACCAAGTGCAAGCAGGTACTGTCAACGACCCTACTCTGTGCGAAGTGCAAGAAGCCTGGCAATAAGTCTGCTAAGGCTTGCAACTCGTGCAACTCGTCTTACGGTAAGCTGTCGAGACGGTGGTCGAAGAACCCAGAGTTGAAATCTTGGTGGGATGCTAAGACTGAGGACCAACAGACCCAGTGGTACCTTGATTGTTTCGAAAGCATCGCTGGCGTAGAGGCTGGTGGGGAGCTCAAGATTGAGATCGAGGTGGTGGATAAAACCTCGGACGAGAGGAGGAAGCTCTACATGTGGAAACCATGGGCGCAGTACAAGAAGGAGCTCTTCATGGAGGGATTCAGCACTCAGCAGGCCCAGTTGATGGAGTGGAGGAAGAGACTCCAGGACCCAGCGTGCAAGAAGTGGTTCACAGAGGGCGAGTGGCACATCGGCGAGTACAGTGGCATTCAGGATAGTAACGCGAACGTCAGGGAAATCATCAACCGCCAGCGCAAGAAGATCTCTGCCGATAGCTTCGAGGACCAAGAGGATGGCCAGAACAGGGCCGACCAGATGCACGATGACTACAGCCGTCTCGCGAGCTCCTTGTCCGCGGGGTGGGCTTCAGGGCGCGGCGTGGGCTCGGGCCAGCCTGCGGGCAGCGATGGAGTTGAGGCCTCGAACATTCCCGATGCATGGGTCAAAGGTTCAGTGGACGCCGACTGGGCGAATGCGCCTCTTCCTGATATGGTCGGCGCAGCAGCGGCCGAGCTCGCCGAGGCGCGCGAGGCGGAGAGGGAGAGGGAGATGCAAGAGGACATGGCGGCGGATAGCTTCCCTGCGGCGAAGAAGGAAGTGGACATCAGCAGTGCCAAGCTCGACCTGACAAATTTCGCGGAGAAGTCGAAGAGCAAGCTTTCCCAAATGACATCGACCTTGTCGTTGGAAACCCAGGGGGCCATTCAGACGATCAAAGAGCGCCTCTTCCCCCAGAATGCGCCGATGGATGAGCCGTTCCCAGGCCTGCTTTCGGATTGGGAGACCCAGTTAGCAGCCTTGAAGGAGGAAGAGAACAAGTACTTGAAAGAGCATGACAGTATACTTGCGAAGTGCTTGGCGGCCGAGAAGGGATTCAATTTCGCAGAAGAGAAGATGAAAGTTAGATCCTTGGGCAATACGTTTGCTCGTCAGGGCGGCGCTTACAAGAAGGCTAAGAAGTCTTGCTCGTCATTGCAATCAGCCTTCAACGAGCGTTGCTCCGCGTCTTCAGGTGGCGCTGCGGCGAAGAAGATGAAGTTGGCCGCGGACTCTCAGGCGTCGGGCGCTGCCCCAGCTGTCCAGCTCGACGAGGCGCACATCAGCGCAGTGACGATGTTGTTCTCGAACGTGGTCAACAACGACTTGAATTGCGAGAGTGACCTCAAGAGGGCGGCGCCTGGCGTCTTCGTCATCCAGAGGGGGACCGAGATGTTGCGTGACCTGCAGCAGGAGAAGTCCTACGCTGAGTGCCGCAAGTTCTGCGAGCAGGTGGCCAAGGACATGCAGGGGAAGCCGCATTGGACATTGAAGGCACCGAGGGCGGGTCGTTCTAAACATCAGGCTATCGCTGCGGCGCCGCGCACATTCGTCATCAGATTTTTCAGCATTTAAATGGGGTCGAGGGCGGTTCCTTTTTCAAAATGGGGCTCTCGCCGAAGCGCCGCGCACATTCGTTTTCACAATGTTGCAACAGTTGCATGGATGGAGGTCGGCTCCTTTTCAGAATGTGGCTCTCGCCTTAGCCTCCTCCTTCTTCGTCGACTCGTCGTCGTCCTCCTCCTCCTCCTCCTCCTCCTCCTCCTCCCCCCCCTGTCCTCCTCTTCCTCCTCGCCCTCCTCGCCTTCTTCCCCGCGCTTGCCCTGCCTCCCTTTCTCCCCCTCCTCGTATCATTCCTCTCCCCTCCTCGCCTCATTTTGGTCCTACCCCTTCTCCCCCATCCCCCGGCCCCCTGCCCGGCCCGCGGCGGCGCCCGTCCTCGGGCCAGCCCCGGCCGCCAGCGCGGCACGGGCCCGGGCCGCCCGTGGAGCAAGGGGCGAGGGGGGGAGAGGGGGGAGGAGGGATGAGGAGGAGGGCGACGAGAGAAGAGGAGTTGGAGGAGGAGGAGAGGGGGACAGCTGCTTCGGACAGCTGCATTTGAACTGCCACAGGTTAGGGTCTTGTCTCAGCTCGCCTAGGTGCCTCAGGCGCACGCGTGCTTGAAGTTGGACTTCCTCGCCCAGGGCGTTCGTGGCAACATGGAGCTGAGTAGCCAGCCCCCGCCAGGCATCCCGCGCAAGTTCAAGGATCTGCTGCGCAAGGACGTCCTGGGCGCGCAGGTGCACCACGCCTCGGAGCGCCACGTGCACTTCGGTGCTGCTCCGTTCGCAGCCCCCGAGATGCGTCTCATCGAGCAGGGCCAGGAGCTGATCATGGGTGTCCGCTTCCCTGATAGCGGTTCTTCCTACACGCATATTTCTCAGTTGCTTCGCTCGCTCAACGGTGGCGAGCTCCTCGGTTTGGCGAAAGAGCCAGGCAATTTCGCCTGCGTCGCGAAGGCTGGGGACGCACTGTTTTTGCCCGCTGGCCACTTGTACTTGCCGTTTCGGCCGACCCCCGTCGTAGGCTTCAGGTGGGCGTGCTTGCCGCCGTGGGTCGGCGACTACGGTCGCATCCTCAAGCTCGTCTCGTCGATGCTGGACAGCTACCCCGCGCTGGCAGAGACGAAGATGAAGCCGCGGCGCGAGTTCCTGGTCGAGTCGGCCCCCCCCAGCCAGAAGGGAGCCATGGGCGGAGATCAGCAGTAGTCTGTGTGAGTGCACGGGCCCCCTCCGACGATTCGGGCGGCATCTCGCCCAACAGCTGGGGATTGGCTGGTTGGCTGGGGGAGGGGCTTAGGATGAGCACGGTGAGGGGAATTATGAGGAGGGCGAGGGCAGTGGGAATGAGGATGAGGAGGGTGAGGATGAGGAGGGCGAGGACGAGGACCTCATGGGAAGGATGAGGATGAGGAGGGCGAGGACAGGTCGGAGGGGCGGAGGATGAGGAGGATGAGGGCGAGGAGGACTAGGAGGCGAGGTGGGATGGAGGGGTGGGAAGCAGCGCGAAGGAACCGAAAACGAGTTGGAAGAATTGGAAGGGGGACCAGGATGAAGAAAGAAAGGGACAGGTCGGCAACACACGGCCCCGCCAATTGCAGGACATATCGGCGCACTGTGCACTGGAATTGCAGCGAATATCTTCAGATATTGCTTCGAAAAAAGATGGTCGTCGTCGTCGTCGTCGTTCGACCCTCGATCGAGGCTCGAGGTTCGAGGCTCGAGGGAAGGTTTTCTTCGCCGATCGATCAAGGCTAGAGGCTCGAGGCAGGCCGATCGATCGAGGCTCGAGATTCGAGGGGGGCGGAGGCCGCGGCGCTTGCGAGGCAGCAGGCCGCTGTGGCTGCTGGACAGCCAGACGTCGTCGTCGTCGTCGTTGTTGTCGTCGTCGCTGTTGCTGTCATCGCCGTCGCCGCCGTCGTCGTCCTCTTCGTCCTCCCAGCGACTCCCCTCTCCTCCTCACTTGGCCATTGTCATTATGAGTGCACGCCCTCCGCCTTCTCCTGCGCGCCCTCATTGTTGCGACGATGTCTCGGCCGAAAGCGTGGGCTCCATTGGCTCGTTGGTTGGATTGGTGGGTTGGCTGGTGGCTGGCTGGCTGGTTGGGTGACCGTTCTCTCCTAACTTGCTTTCCTGACTTACTTCCTCCCCCCTCCCGCTTTCGCCGCTGCCGCCATCGTCGCCGCCCTGCCTTCCCTCTCGCCCACCCTTGCCTTTTATTACTAATGGAATGCGCTCCCCGTCCGCCTGCGTTGGCCCATGGCTGGTTGGTTGGTTGGTTGGTTGGTTGGCCCGTTGATTAAGCCTTATCTTTGCTGGCGTGCCTGCTGTTTGGCTGCATAGTTGGTTGGTTGGTTGGTTGATTTGTCGGTTGGCCCTCGTTTGGCCGGCGTGACCGGGGCTTGGGTGGTCGGCGCGGCGCCGACATGCAAGAGTTTGCATTCCCAGGTGGCCGGCTCGCGTTTTCTGGTAGCGGAGCGAAACGCCATGAAATTTGCCCCGCGCGCCTTATGCGCAAGATGGGATAGAGGCCCCTCAACGTGTGCGCGTGTTCTTTTGGGCGGGGGGGGGGGGTCCTTGCCGTCTCAGATTCAACTAATCATGCTCGCAATGCGCGCGGGGCTTGCCCGAAAGTGTCTTTGTTGCACTCTACAAAGCTGGCCAAACAATTCTTTGTTTTTTTCCGCGTGTCGCGCTTGCCCGAATGCGATGGAAGCGCGCTGGCGGTCACGCCGTTACTTTATCTTCAACTTATGACGATGAAATCACATGCGTTCGGTGGCCGCGGCTGGCAAAAGTGAGAAGTCGAGGGCCCAAAAATTCAAAAACAAATGCTGACATCATGAGAGTCCCTCAAAATGCACATGCGCCCGGGCCCCCCTGCAAAGCAAACCATAATACCCTTAGCACTCTTCTTTTCAATTCTCTGCTTGGGAGCGTTGTCCACAAAGTCGAGCAGAAGTGGCCGGCTAATACAGGCTGGGGCTTAAAGATGGGCTACACGGACCTCGCGCAGCTCACCAACTTGCGCTTCGCGGGCGACATCCTGCTCGTCGCAGCCACTCTGCGGCAACTCGAGGCTACGCTGAAGGACATTAAGAACGCAGCCACCAAAGTTGGCCTCGAGCTCCACCCTGACAAGACGAAGATCCTGAGCAACACGACCCAGGGCACTGGCGGGCCGAAGGAGACGAACACAATCATTGATGGTATGCATATCGAAATTGTTCCCTTCAGTGGCAGCGTCAAGTACCTCGGCCGGCTGGTGAGCTTCGACCGGCCCCGCGACGTGGAGATCGATAACCGTGTTCGCTGTGCTTGGAAGTGTTTCATGCAGCACCGGGCAGAATTGACTGACGGGCAGTATTCTTTAAATTCAAGATTCAGGCGATGCGACAGCACAGTCATGACAACGATGTTGCACGGTTCTGACACGTAGGCACTGGCAAGCGAACTCGAGGACAAGGCGAGAAGAACGCGGAGAAAGATGCCACGGACGATCGCCCGTGCGAGCAGGCGGGGACATCGCGCTGGAGAGCGACCCGCGTCATCATCATTCACGTCACCTTCTACTTCTCCCTCGTCTCCCCCCCTTTTTCAAGCGAGAGTATTTCTGGAGCCATGGGCAGATTTCATCCAACGGACAACAAAGGATGCGGAGCACCGTGCGTCAACATTGGGACTTCGTGATCGGACCGAGGGGCGCCGCAAATCTGCCCGCAAATGGTTGCGGCGAATGCATTCGGAGGAGCGTTCTCGGGCGAAAACAACATTTCAATGTGAGCCGGTTGGCTGCGCGCGACGCCCAGAGCGGCCGCGGAAACGCTGGTACGACGCCACAGTCATTCAAGGACTAAGGCGCTGAGGCGCCCCCGCCGCGCCCCTCGTGGGCCGCCCCCCCTGTGAGGCGATTGTCGGCGCTCTGCTCTGCTGCTCTGATAGGTCGGAGCGTGTTGTGTGTAGCTGGTGTACCCGCTGTGGATCACTGGTTGCCAAGTGGTGCTCTTGTCCTGGCCGAAGTGTTTATGGTTTTGTTTGTGTTTCCCCTGGCCTTTGCCTTTGGCTTGCGGTGCTGGGGTGTGTCCGTGCATGTGTGTAGTCGTTGGTATTGGTGGTTGTTGTGCGTTGTGACGTTGGTTGACCAGATGTTGTGCAGCTTGAATGTGTTGGTGTGTCGCATGGTCTAGTAGCGACCTTGCTGAAGCTACCCTTAGTAATGTTCGCGCTGCTGCTCCCCTTTTTTCCTTTCCCTTCGATGCCAGGCGGGACTGGGACATGTGGTCTGAGCCAGGGTCGTCGATCGGTGCTCGTAAAATTCCGTTGTCGAAAATGTGAGCATGCGGTGCTGGCGTGTTGTCTGTAACGCAGGAGATACCAAGCATATCCAGCATATAATGAGCCAATTGTAAGTGTGTGTGTGTATGGGAGACTGGCAAAGGATGTAAGAGGTATCGTGTTTTGGTGATTTGCGTTTTTGGCTGGCCCCTTAGGGTTGGCGCACTACCGCGGGATCCTGGGCCCGATGTTTCCTCCTCCTCCTCCTCCTCCTCCTCCTCTTCCTCCTCATCATCCTCTTAATCATCATCATTATCGTCTTCTTCCTCCTCCTCCTCCTCCTCCTCTTCCTCCTGCCCATCCTGATCCCACTATGATGTCAAGAGGCTTCGAAAGAAGGAGCATCTCGGGCTCAGGAGGGGCTCGGGTTGTCGGACCGCCCCCTGGATCTGGGTCGGGGAACTTGTTCGTGGCCGAGGCCGGCCGTGGCCAGAGACGCCCTTTCGGTACTTTGCAGCGCCCCCCCACGGTAGCACAATGGTTGTGTTGTCTTGTCTGCCCCGCTCTGAGAAGCCAGCAGGTGCTTGATCGTGAGCCTCCTGTACATAGACCGCCTCTGCCAGCGCAACCCAGCGTTCACGGTCAGCCCCCTGAACTTGCACAGGCTCCTGGGGCGAGATGTGGAGGAGGAGGAGGAAGAGGAGGAGGAAGAGGAGGGCGGAGGAAGGAGGAAAGAGGAGGAAGGAGGAGGAGGAAGAGGAGGAGGAGGAGGAGGATAAGGGGAGGACGAAGAAAAGAGGAGGGAGGAGGAAAAGGATGAGAAGGAGGAGGGAGGAGGAGGGAGGAGGAGGAGGAGGAGGAGCAAGGAGGAAGGAAGAGGAAGGAGGAAGGAGGATGGAGGATGGAGGATGGAGGATGGAAGGAGGAAGGAGGAAGGAGGGGGTTCCAGGATTTCCGCCATCCCTTTGGGATAAGAGAGGCTGAGCTCTGATCCCAGCTTTGGGGTGCAAGCCCGTCGAGGTCCGTTCGAGATATCCGCGACGGGTCTTGGAGATCGGCCGAGTGCACGGTTTGCCGAAGCCCCTGAGATGGGCTTGATCGAAAAAACGCAAGTTCCACGGTGCCAAATCCCTAGACTATTATGGTATATTAGGGCGTGTGTGGGATCAACCCATCTTTTTGCAAGGTGTATTCTACGTCCACGGGGTGGGCGGGACAACAAACCATCCACAGACTGGAGTTAGAAACACGCACTCTTTAACCATTCGGCCATACACGCTTTAGGCGCCGAGCCTTTACACACGCTGCACGAACCGCCACTTTCGGTCAGGACGTGAGCGGACGCGAAGCGTGTGACAGCTATATGCGGGGGAGGAAGGGTGCGAACCGCAGGCTTGGGGCAGCCTCCGAATCGCTGCTGGTCTGAGCAGCAGCGATGGAATCGAGGCCTGCGCGCAACAACCGTTTCCTGACCAGCCTAGCTTTGCTTTCGACTCGAGCGATTCTGAATCTGTCTGCCTGAGGGACACGTGCACGGATGGCGGCCTCCTTGGCAAGCTCATATACCACAACATTATTTTGAATCAGCCAGCTGGGCCAGTTTCTCTCAGCAGCATGTCTCCCGTTAAGGTGTGACGGAACTTGAATGACTGCAACAATTGAGGGGTCCCGTTGCTGACTGGTCCAAGTACTGGAGATGACTCTCCACAAGTCAGCTTGGGGCCCTGATGGCAAACTGAGCTGGCCTCCGTACCAGCATCTAGCTACTTCGGCACAATCTGTGACGTACACGAACAAATTTAGAGAAACCTGATGGCCTATGCGAGCGCCTGGAGCTCCCCACAAGGCACTGTTTGGCTGGCTCCCCCCAGAGGCCCCAAAAAGATGTGGCCCTAGGGTGGGAGGCGCAAAGGAGAGAAAACGGGCGATAGCGA